CTTGTCTCTCTCTCTCTCTCTCTCTCTCTCTCTCTCTCTCTTTCTTTCTCTCTCTTATCTATCTGTGTATCTATCAATCCAAAACCTCTGTCATTCCTTTTCCCCAATTCCAATCAACCCAACTTAACATTCTAACCAACATTAAAGAGAAAGCATGGCTCGGGGATTGGCTCTGTAAGGTGTGTCTGGTGAACCTCAGGAGAACCAAGGTTTCAAAGACCTTGTGTTTGTCACGTTTAAGGCCTGAAACTGAGTTTCAATCTTGGCGGGAACTTTCAAGTTTTGGGTTGGAAAGTGATCGGAAACAGGGGAAGAGTGGGTCCAACAACTAGGATTTTGATGAGAAATTGGCTGAAAAACATCAAGGACTGAGCCATCACAGAGCTTTCCCATTGCCTGAGAATTTGGGGAATGGAAACTGGATTATTTGGGGGTTTGATGAAATGAGTGGATACCAAGAAGAAGAAGCTTGATTTTTGTTTTTCGTTTTATTTACTACTTATTTTTCATTTTTTTATTTTTTCGTGAATACAATGAAAGGTTGGGTTAGAATGTTAAGTTGGGTCAATTGGAGTTGAAGAAAAAAATTGGTGAAGTTTTGGAGAGAGGGAGAAGAAAGATGTGAGAGGAATGGAGGGTGGTCTGAAGAGGATTACTCATTGCAATGAGGAAGAGAGAGAAACCCTTAAGAAATAAAGAAGGAAATCAAAGACATGGAGAATGTTGAGTGTTAATATTAAGAGAGATAAAAAGAGCAGGAATAATAATGAATTGGAGCTCAGGAGTCTCAAGGTGTAGAATAATGAAGGGTAGAGGATAGAGGTGCAGTCAGCAAGCGCTAGTTGGCTATGCTTTCTGTGAACACCTCCTCGGCAAAGGGAGAATGAAAGGCATAAATGGGTTAGTTTCCAGGAAGATAGAATTTAGCAGAACCAGAGAAGGTGGAGAAAGTCTGAAGAATCACACGAGAGAGAAGTTAGAGAGATAGACGAAGTTGCCCATTGTGAATGCAGAATCATTCAACAATATCATGAACCAGCCTGACATTTGCAAAACCCAACCTTCATTTGATCCAAAACTCACATAACGTCATGGTATTATTCATTCGTTCTTCTCTGTTTGCATTTCTTTTTCTTTTTTTTTCTTTTTATTTATTTGGGTTTACTCTCTCTCACCCACCCCCGCAGGGCGCCCAAGAAAAAAAAAAGAACAAAGAAAAACAAAAAAAGACCCCACATCAAGGGTCTCTCACTACTACGATGAACAAGAAGAAAAAGGGCTCAAATTCTTTTCCTTGATTAATAATTCAAGGGAGGGACGAAAGCTTCTGTGAACAGAGAAGAAAGCATGGAAGAGTGGCTTAGAGAGAGAAAAAAATGGGGAAAAGGGAGAGGCACAGTTTATCCTTTCATTGAAGAAGGGCATTTTGGTAATAAATGCCATTGTCCAGTAACATGGGGGGTTCATGAGAAGAAAAACAGTGCTAGCGGAGGTCCTATGATGGAGTATCTATAATATATGGGGGGCAATATGTAATTTTCCCTTAAAGTTTTTGAGTCATTCCCTTAAGTGTTTTTCAAATCCTAGTCAATAAGACTTGGGTGCTCTTATGTGGCCGAGTGCACAGTCAGCAAACCGTGGTATGTTTACCCTGCATTGATTTGAGATTGAGAAATTTGTCACCTCATGAAACGATGCCAGTATTTTTTCCTCTGAAAGAAGGTAGTGAATTCTGTGCTGAATGTATTCATCCAGCTAAACTATGTCTAAAACATTGGGTATGCATTTCATGTTGAAATAGAACTAGAATGTTACTCTAATTTGTGCATGATCAAGCATATCTATGCTTGTCACCAACTTCCAATATGTGGATGAATGCTAAAAAATACTCTAGCTGAATGTGGTCTCAGATCTTCTGTTATTTTAGATTTGATATCCCATTTTTTTATATGGTAACAACTGGAGAGATTTGCAATTGAAATGCTTCTTATAGTTAACATGAGTTAGAATTTTGTTATGAAGTCCCATGGACCTTCTTTTCGCTTGCTAATTTCCTTGACCTACATGTGGTCATTTTTTATTTAGGACTTGATTTGATGACTTGTTTTTCATGCTACCAGGCTAACATTGTACGTTTTAATGAAGACATGCTGAGTAAAGTGCAAAGAATTCATTCAAACTTTGGCCATCCAGAAATCGGGTATTCTTACTCAGGTGATATCCTTTCAAGTAATAGTACGGATCATGCTAGTAAAAAGAAAGGAATGGATTATACATTTCCTCCGAGTTCTGAATTGAAAGATTTTGAGATCCCAATGCCACCTCTTGCTCTTGCTGCTTTACAACAACACAAAATTAGGTATGGCTATATTTGGTTATGTATTATTTTACAACGTATTGAGTAATGGCTTCATATCTTTGCACAAATTACATCAAATGTGTATAACTGTATAAGGCCATGTAAGGATCAATTTTTTGTAGTTCAACGACAAAGATCACCCTTTATATTCTATGCCAACGTTTGTTCAATACCTATGTCGACAAGCCCAGCGAAATTCCTCTTTGTGAGTATACAGGAATCGTACATTAACACGCGGGCATTTTAGAGAGAGGAGTTTTGGTGATCTTCCTCATGAGTTGATCGCTTGGCATAACAAGTTCTGCATCCTGATTGTGGGATAGAACTTTGAAAGCTTAAATCCATTATTATTATTATTATTATTATTATTATTATTATTTTACTTTGAAAAGACTGAATTGCACCTACTAAGGGAAGAAAAGTGACTTTCTTTGCATGAGCAATATACACCTCTTCAGCATGATAGTGTCCAAAAGACTCCAAACATCTGAGGTCCTTTTTCACTTATATTGGTGTGTCTCTGTTAGGTAGACCTTGCAATGTCTCCAAGGTGTTGGCAGAACTGGTAGGGGCTGCAGATCTCTTAGTTAAGATGCAGCAGCGATCTCTGCTCCTAAGAGAATTCTCAATGCCATTGGAGGCTGCCATTGAAGAATCTGCTCTTCACCAGGCTCTGAGCAATTTGGTCGAGGGCGCATTGTTGCGTACACAAGTTGGTGGCAAGGTTGAAATCATAGCCATTGAAGCACCAGGGGGTGGGGTTCTAATTGTTCTTGATGACGATGGACCTGATATGCATTACATGGTAATTATGTCTTCCCACCTTTGATTCTTTTAAGTAATTGCTGGAGCTTGTCTTTTGCTGATAAAAATAAATTACCTGGATTGCATGTTCCTGGGATCAGCTTATGCTCTTTTTTATATTTTTTGATGCTTTGTGGGCATAATAGTTTGAAGTTGTCAAATAAAATTTTCAAACTGTGAATTGACCATGTTCTTGGTTTTTCTTTTTATTGAGATACCCTTGATGCTGGTACCAATAAAAGAAGCTGTGAAATACCCATGTTTCTTCTAATAATTGGTAAGTTCTCATGAGTGATGAAAATTCTACTGCTCGTCCTCTATAATGTCAAGGATACCCAGCTTAATGTGTATGCCATGAATATCCCATTCTTATGGAGCTTTTGTAAGCATAGTCTCTTTTTTTCTTTCTTTTTTATGTCGTTTTTCAAAAATTTGCCCTCTCAGGTCGGGACTCACCAGAGTCAGCTCAGATTGGAGACCTGGCAAGTCTAAGGTAAAGCATTGGATTTTCCCCGAGGTGGCTAATTTTTTAAAAGAAATTAGCCATTTCTTTGTTAAAAGATCATGGGTCTGACTAGGGACTCACTTGAGTAGGACTGGGTAACTTGGGCTTGGGACCAAGCCTGTGTTTATAACCACTTTTTTCCTTTTGTATTGTAGTTTCCCAGTAAGAAAAGCCTTCCCGAGCATAGTGTTGACAGAAATCCTGCTTTCTAGAGACCTGCACATTGCACATGGACATTGATATTGTTTCGAGTTGGTGAACCCCCACCCCCCAAAATAAACAAACCAAAAAAAAAAAGGAAAAAAATCTGACATGAGCATCCATCCTGTGGGCTGCCTGATTCCTTTTTCTAACTTGTTTACATTTAATACAGCATTTTAACATTTTCAGAAAAAAAGAGAGTTTTTGAAAGACCCAATCGGGAAACTCTTGGTACGTTGTACTTTTCATAAAAAATAATGAAAAGACGATTACTTGTCATTCTTGAAATGAACCTTGTGGTGTGGCATATAGCCCTTGAGAAGAAAATGAGCTTTTGTGTGTTTTGCAAGAAATTGTGTGACAACTTATCTCATGGAAAAAACTCAAAACATGTGTTCTTGTATTTTTTTAGTCAACAAATGAGTCATTGTCTCCTTTGCCTTGAGGGCATATTTTTCTCTTGGGAAAATTTGTTCATTTCTCAAGATCTTTGGGAACATAATCATTAGTTGTCATGGTTCTCTATGTTTTTCATTCTCACTTCCATTTCTTTGCAGACCCAGATGCATTCTCTTGCACCCTTTGGAGCAGAGCTCTCATCTGTAGGCAAGGTCGAGGATAGCATCACTTGGAACTTTGTGGCAGGACTAACCGTGGCTCGTGAGATACTTGAGAGTTATGGTTCAGTTGTTCGAGTTACTTCACCTCGTTTACCTAATGCTATTCTTGGAGCAGGAGGAACAAGGATAGAGTTATGGTTACCTGCTGTTCCATCTGATTTCACGGGGTTTTCTCGACCAGAAAAGCAACAAGATGCCTAATTTTGAAATTAGAAACCAACTGCATTTTCCTACCCTGAAGTCACTACAGGCTAATTCCAGTTCAATAAGTGTTCTTGTGTCGAAAAATGTTGAAAATGCGATTAATTGTATATGTTTATCATAATTGTTGTTTATGAAGGTGATTAATGAACATTAGAGCTTCTGTAAAAGCAAAAATCGAAGGAATTGATTCATTTGTCCAGCAACAAGAAGTTATATCCCAGTCAGGGGAACAAGAGGTAGGAGAAGCTTATTGTATCAGTAAACAGATGTATGTTAATCATAATTGTTGTTTTATGAAGGAGATTAATGAACTAATAGAGCTTATGAAAAAGCAAAAATCCAAGGAATTGATTCATTTGACCAGTAACAAGAAGTTATATCCCTGTCAAGGGAACAAGAGGTAAGAGAAGCTTATTGTATCAGTAAAAATATGTGTCTTACAACTAATTTGTTTTGGATCAATGGAATAATTTTGGGAATAAAATGTTATTGAGGATTAGTAAGCTCTAAATGTGGTTTGGATTTTCTTGGGTTCCATAACTTCCTGCTATATATATATTAGATCATTCAAGGATAATAGCTTGACTACTAGTTTGGATCAGTGTTTTAAAACCTGGGGATTTTTATCCGAATCGCGGATCGGGATGGGAATTAGTCGAGACTGAACTGGTTTTGTGATGGTATAGCTCTTGGCCCTAGACCCCCCTAAAGCTCTCTTTATATATTTCGTTTTCTCGTTTTTTTTTAAGTTCATCTAATATTTTCTCATGTCTCCCTTCAATCTCCATCCCGTAAACATCTATTTTAATTTTAATTTTATTTAATTTATTTTTTTAATATTTTTCTAGATCATCAATTGCGATTTGAATCGCTGATCCACCAACTCGATATAGATTTCTCTATAAATGATCCACTCCATCCAGATTTTGAAACACTGGTTTGGATAGTTTTTGGTGCAGTTTTATAGGTATTCTAAATGGGTGTGAGACTTTTTTATTTTTGACTTAGGTGATATGTGTTTTGAGGACCAATTTAGTTGGAAGCATAATGGACTTTTAAAATGGGGTTCAGAATGGTGACTTTCCCAGAGAGAGAGAGAGAGAGATGGTAGGTTAGGACTTTGTTGCTCTTGGGGGGGGAGAAAAGCAAAGATAGAGGTTTAGATTCATTCACAACGGGAGAAAAGCAAAGATAGAGGTTTAGATTCATTCAGTTGTGAATCCAGGAAAGGAGCTGGTGATCCAGGCAAAGGCCATTGAATTCAACGACTGCCCAGTGGAACATTGTGGGAACATGGAAGAAGTAAGGGACTGAACAATAGTTGTAAAGTTTGGGGGTGTTTTGTTAATGTTAGGCTTCTATGCCTTGTTCATTTTCAACCATGCCAGGATGCTAATGCCACCAAACTTTCCGAGTCTTACTTGACCTTGCCTCAAACTTGGATTCGCACCTATTCATGCTCAATCTATCGCTACAGAATGTGGCAAATGGCTAAAGAATGTGGCAAATTCCTTAGGGTGGATTGAAAACCTTCCATAAGGGAGTGGGGCATGGCCCTTGAGGGAGAGAGACACTTTCTTAAGAGAGAAACTTTTTCAAGAGATATATATTCTAAATGGGATGTGCCTGCCCTTTTTGTGAGATCTGATAGAGAGATGGAAATTAAGTGTAAGAGATAAGGTATACAGCTTAAAGTTTTTTGACTTACCTCTCACGTAAGATGGAACATATATTATTGATTTTGGCGATTTGTGGGGTGAGATGAGTCATTCATTCTATAGATGAACCGTCAACAACATATGGAAGGTACTAGAACTATTATCCCAATTTCATAAACTAGTTTTCGTTAATTAATTCAAGCCTTTTCGTATAAATATGATTCAAAATCTTTACAAAGTTCAAGCTTACCAAATTATCTTTCTTATCCCACAAGAAAAAAGCTTGTGCTCTGAACAAAAAATGGCAACTTCCCTAGGTGGGCCCTTTGTGGCATATAATGAGCCCCACTAATTTGCTGTGGTGGGCCCAAAGGTCCTAATGGGCCTCTCATGTAATTATAATATTTTTACATTTTTAAAAAATCATAAAATTGTTATTTGAATATTTAAATCAATATAAAATAAATATCTCCATTTTTATAAATCCAAAATTGATAAATAAAATATCTAAAGATTTAGAAAAATTTAAATAACAATTCTAAAAATCATATATTATTAAAAATGAATAAAATTGAATACTCTGATGGGAAAATGATCCATATGGTCTAAGAATACACGTGCATTGGGGCAATCCACTTTCAATTATGGACTATAGACCACGATGCTTTCTTAAACCAACCCAGCATTGCCCATGACCCATAGTCCATGCAAGATATTATTAATAGGTCACCAAAATCTAGCAATAGGCAATAGGTCACAGTCCGAGTATATGAATTTTCTAGAGACGAATCAATGTCACTCAGACCTTGATACAATCCATAGCTCAATGGTATATAGGTGTATCTCTCGCACATGCACACGATTCACCTTGAAAGGTGGTTCGCTTTCCCGAAATTGGCTGTGAATGTGTGATGGCAATGGATGAGGCTTTGACCCGCTTGTAGGCCTCTATTACACAGTCTTTCAGGCATACTCTGACTTCATCAAGAGATGACTTATCATAACCCTCATTGATTTAGTTTTTTATGCTAGGTAATCATGAGTTTTTCCCAACCAGATTGTCCTAAGATGTTAAACACAGTCTGGTATCAACAAAAATCGTTTTGCTTAATATAGTCCCATAGAGTTGGAATGTGTATTTTCATTATTTTACAAACACTTACTCACAACCATAGTTAGCAAGTCGGGGAGTATCAATAAATTGGCTCACCATAAAATCAGAAACAAATCATTTTTATTTTAAAAAGTTGAATAAAAAATCGGGTAAAAAATATGGATTGAAAAATATACTTCATATAAAGATATCGCTCATATATCGGATTGGGCTCAAAAACTTGGAGTGAAAAAAGCAGATAAATTTATAATATTAGAAATTTTGAAATTCTAAAAAATAAAAATTATGTCAAAGTGATCAATAAGTAATTCATCCATAAAAACAACTAGACCGATATAATTAACTCAATTAATTTAAATATCTCGGGACTCTCATCTAATCATCCAATATTAAATATAAAATTAACTAGTATATACCAAAAAAATGTATCATATAAAAAGCTATCTATTAAATATTTTAAAAAACATCACACCTACTTATTAGATACTAAAAGCAAGTAAACTATATAAATTTATTTAGTAAATACTTTAATGCTATGGTGATAAATATGTATAAATTTATCCATCAAATAGTTAAAAACACACACCTAAGGTAAAAAAAAAATACTCGATTTTTGTTTTCTCATTACAATGATTTAACTATAGTATGGTAGCTATGGTTACTGTTCAAATTTTATAAATTTCTATAATTGAAAGGAGGCTCGCAGAAAGTAGGGTTTCACATCCCTGTTTACCTTTTAGAGAGAGAAGAAGGAAAAAGAAGAGAAGAAAATAGGGCTGGGCTCATAGCCATTAGGGTTTATAGGGAGAGAAGAAGGACGAAGGAAGAGATCTTTGGCTTCACAAACCGGAAGATGCCCTAACTGAATTTTAGAGACAGAAAATGAAGATCGGATGCTTATTTGGGATAGTTTGAAGAGGGTTTTTCTCTGTGATTTGGGATAGTTTGAAGAGGGTTTTTCTATGTGATTTGGGATGTTGTTTGAGAAAAAACCAGCCCTAACTGATTTTTAGAGAGAGAAAAGGAAGAGAGTTTTTCTTTTTTTTTTTGGGGAAGCAGCAAGATGAGCTGAAGGATTAGGTTTGGGGAACTAATCCTACATATACAAATTGCTTGCTCCTGTAAGTTTACAATTTGAACTATATTATTTATCTTTGTTAACGCATAATCAAAAACAAAATATTAATTACTTGGTTTGTAGCCACACTCTCTCCTTCTCATTCATTAGTTCAAAATATTGATTACTTGGTCCTGTAGCCACACTCTCTCCTTCTCATTCACTAGTAAAAGACTATGTTTTGAGCTCTAATTTGTGCCATAAACAGTATTTTCATAAAAACAATTATCACAAATAATCACAGATTAAACGGCGATTTGCTAAGTATGGACTGGAATGACCGACGCCGAAACCTTGATGATGATCGGAGCCCTAGCCCAGGTCACTTCAGGAACTTAAGGTCCCGACGCGATGGCTATGGAGGAAGGTCTAATAGGTCTATTCTCGACAGGGATAAGGGTTCTCGATATGGTAGGGTTTCTGATACAGATGATGAAGAGTTGAAGGGTTTGGATTATGAAGAATACAGAAGGATAAAGAGGCAAAAATTGAGGACCAAATTGAGGAATTGTATATGGAATGTCACCCCAAGTCCTCCTAGATTGGATCATGGCGATGATCAAGAAATTGGAGTTGAAATTGCTATAAATGAGAAGGATTTTCAATCTGATGAGATATCTAGGGTTAATTATGGAGATGGGTTCTCAGGTAGTGGAAGGAAAGCTTCCTCTTACTATAAAGATCAAGAAAAGAGTAGTCGTGATGAAGAACCAGATTCTGATTTAGAGATAAACAGATCACTCGTAATGAAGAGGACAGAAAGGGGAGGAAGAAGAGAGAGACGTAGGTCTCATATTAAGAGTAGAAAGAGAAACCGTCCAGTTTCAGATGAATTGGAAAGTGAATCAGAATCTGGTTCTGACTCAGAGAAGAGGAAAAAGAAGAAGAGGGAAATTGGAGGAGAGAGAAATGGGTCTCATCGTAAGGGAAGCAATAGAAAGAGAAGAGATTTAGTCACCGAGAGTGAAGAGAATGAGGAATCAGAAAGTGAATCTAGTTCTGGTTCAGAGATAAGCAGCTCGCCTGGTACAAGGAGGAAGAAAAGAGATAGAAGAACACATAATAGAAGTGGGTCTCATAGGAAGAACCGAACAAGCAGAGATTCGGTCTCTGGAAGTGAAAAAAGTGATGATTTGAGTTCTTCAGAGTACTCTTCTGATAAAAAGAAGAAACCCAACAGGAAGCATGGCCTCAAAAAAAATTCGAGAAAAGGGGTGGCGCGTAGAAAGTCACGGAGGAGTAGAAGGGACATTAGTTCTGAAAGTGAAAGCAGTAGTGAGAGAGAAAGCGATGAATCTGATGTTGCTATGATGGCGTTGAAACCATCTTCCCACCCTAACAAATCCAAGAAAAAGATGCACTCAGATTCAGAGGCCAACAATTCATCAGATAATGAGGGCAATGAGGCCCAAAAAGAAAAAGAACAAGCCCCCAAAAAATCAGAGATTGATAATGAAGCTCTTTTGTTCAAGGAGATGATAGAGTCACAAAAGAAACCCAACTCAGGCCTTGAAAATGAGCCTGTTGTTGGGCCTATGCCTCTCCCTAGAGCCGAAGGCCATATCAGCTATGGAGGTGCCCTACGGCCTGGAGAAGGAGACGCCATTGCTCAGTATGTTCAGCAAGGCAAGCGTATTCCTAGAAGAGGAGAAGTGGGTCTTTCAGCTGAAGAGATTCAGAAGTTTGAGGGCTTGGGTTATGTCATGAGTGGGAGCAGGCATCAAAGAATGAATGCGATTCGTATAAGGAAAGAAAACCAGGTTTACAGTGCTGAAGATAAGCGGGCACTTGCTATGTTCAATTACGAGGAGAAGGCGAAGAGAGAGCACACGGTAATGTCAGATTTGCAGAGACTGGTTCAGAGGCACATTGGGCAGGATGTTGGCCCGACGCATGACCCATTTTCTCAAAAAGGATCGGAGGTTGCTGATGCATAGGCTGTGTTGTAAGCTTTTACCTTTTGCTAGGTTTCATGTTCTCTTTATAATATTTATTTTCTGAGTTGATATCCTCTTCGTGAATTTCCAGACCTTTGTGCATGAGTTAATACCTTCATGTTTTCAGATAGGGTAGTGTAGATTAGTTACTTGTTGAATCAAGACTCCACGTGCACTTGCATTTTTTGTGCAGTACAAATTTTTCTATGTATTTCATGTAAGATTCCATACCCTATATAACTATTGAAATAATTAATGTTTGTTTTATGTTTGGTTTATCCGTTCATGTGGTTATTTAACAGCTTTGACATTTTTTTCATCCACATTTCCTTTAAGTTGTGCACTTCCTGTAGACCCCTTGCTCTCGAGATGGAGAAATGACTTAGCACCCTAAGTATTAACTGCCTATTGATCATGAATGCTTGTGTAGCACATAATTGCGGTGTTTATATGAGGTTTGAAGTGCTCAATAAAGGTTGCATTGGAGGGACTGAATATTTGTTGTTCTTAAATTCTTAGAGATGACTTATATACTATGAGTGGCTCATGTTTCGATTAAATGCCGATCAGAAATGCGTTTCATTGGACAAAGAGCATGTTTCAAGATAATATTATATTGTGCACCTCCCACAGGCTGCATGTTCTCAAGCTAAAAGAAATACCTTAGAAAGGGTTCCTGTGTTGTATTGACTGCCTATTGATCATGAATGCTTGTGTAGCATATTATTGAGGTGTTCAAATGAACTTTGAAGTGCTCAGATAAGGTGGCCTTGGAGGGACTGAATTTTTGTAGAGCTTAAATTATTGGAGATGGCTTATAGTACATGAGTGCACCATGTTGTTGGATCAAATACTAGTCAGAAATGCATTCACATGCCACGATAAACATATATTGTCCGCCCGCCTTCCATTGGCTGCATGCTAATGCATTAGCAAACTAGTCCCCTTAAGTATTCATTGCCTATTGATTATGAACGCTTGTGTGGTGCATTGTTGGACTGTTCAGATAAGGTTTAAAGTGCTCTGATAAGGTTGCATTGGTGATATTGAATTTTTTGGCGCTTAAATTCTTTCATGATGACTTATAGAACATCTTTCATGAATGCATCATTTTGATGAATGAAATGCTAGTTGAAAATGCATTTCGTTGCTCACGGAGCATGTGCCAAGATAAAAATTTAAATTATGATTTATTAAATATCTTCTTCATAGGAATATGGATAGAGATACCAGATATCATTGATACTAGACATGGTTTTGAATTATTGACCCCTTCACCCCCAAAATAGTATATGGTTTGTGCATGTCAATATTATCAAAATATATTATATATGGTTTGTGATGCAGAAATATGACTATTGACATTACTACAATGACATAGACCATTATCTTGTTACATAAGTTTTTCTATGTTAATGGTATATATTTGGCACCTGCATAGAAGCAGTGCTGTTAGGACCATCCTTGTGAGGGTGCCGTCCAGTCCAAACTGGTCAGTTCAGCCAATTCATTAGTGAAAATGGTCGGAAAATCTGAACAAAGCATTATGAAAATTTAAAAAATCCTTTCTGAACCAGCTAGTTCAACGAAATCAACAAGTTTTAACCAACTGGTTAAGATCGGTAGCTACGGGTTATGACCGGTTCATTGCTCCTTATGGCTCGTGAACTAACTGGTTGGGGCACCGGTTCGCGGTCCGTCCCGGTCTTAATTTCATTATTGACAAGTATTGGGGAAAAAAATATATTTGCAACTTTTGGGCACAAGAGCATCCCTTGTCATGAATTGGTTGAGCTTTCCTTTTGTCACTTTTTGGCAAGTCTTTCCTTTTATAACTATTTGGCGGGTCTATAGAAATGTACTATGAGCTAAGATGCCTGGTTTCAGTTACGGATATAAATACTATGGGCTAAGATGCCTGGTTTTTATGTTAATGGTATATATTTTGCACCC